TTACCCATTCATCTATTGAAGGGCATCTTTGGTTCCACAGTCTAGCAATTGTGAATTGTGCTGCTATGAACATCTATGTGGCAGTATCTCTGTAGTATGCTCTTTTAAAGTCTTCAGGGAATAGTCCGAAAGGGCAATAGCTGGGTCAAATGGTGGTTCCATTCCCAGCTTTCCCAGGAATCTCCATAATGCTTTCCAAATTGGCCGCACCAATTTGCAGATCCACCAGCAATGTACAAGAGTACCCTTTTCCCCACATCCTCGCCAGCACTTGTTGTTGTTTGACTTCATAATGGCTGCCAATCTTACTGGAGTGAAATGGTATCTTCAGGTGGTTTTGATTTGCATTTCTCTGACTGCTAGAGATGGTGAGCATTTTTTCATGTACTTGTTGATTGATTGTATGTCCTCCTCTGAGAAGTGTCTGTTCAGGTCCTTGGCCCACTTGTTGATTGGGTTATTTGTTAACTTATTGTCTAATTTTTTTGAGTTCTTTGTATACTCTGGATATTAGGGCTCTATCTGAAGTGTGAGGAGTAAAAATTTTTTCCCATGATGTAGGCTCCCTATTTACCTCTCTTATTGTTTCTCTTGCTGACAAAAAACTTTTTAGTTTAAGTAAGTCCCATTTGTTGATTCTTGTTATTAACTCTTGGGCTATGGGTGTCCTATTAAGGAATTTGGAGCCCGACCCCACAATATGTAGATCGGAGCCAACTTTTTCTTCTGTCAGCCGCAGAGTCTCTGATTTGATATAAAGCTCCTTGATCCATTTTGAGTTAACTTTTGTGCATGGTGACAGAAAGGGATTCAGTTTCATTTTGTTGCATATGGATTTCCAGTTTTCCCAACACCATTTGTTGAAGATGCTATCCTTCCTCCATTGCATGCTTTTAGCCCCTTTATCAAATATAAGATAGTTGTAACTTTGTGGATTAGTCTCTGTGTCCTCTATTCTGTGCCATTGGTCCACCCGCCTGTTTTGGTACCAGTACCATGCTGTTTTTGTTACTATTGCTCTGTAATATAGTTTGAAATCCGGTATCGCTATACCGCCTGATTCACACTTCCTGCTAGAATTGCTTTTGGTATTCTGGGTCTTTTATTTTTCCATATGAATTTCCTGATTGCTTTATCTATTTCTACAAGAAATGCCATTGGGATTTTGATTGGCATTGCATTAAACCTATAGAGAAATTTTGGTAATATCGCCATTTTGATGATGTTAGTTCTGCCTATCCATGAACAGGGTATATTTTTCCATCTTCTAAGATCTTCTTCTACTTCTCTCTTTAGGGTTCTGTGGTTTTCATTGTATAAATCTTTCACCTCTTTTTTTTTAGGTTGATTCCCAAGTATTTTATTTTTTTTGAGGATATTGTGAATGGGGTGGTTGTCCTCATTTCCATCTCAGAAGATTTGTCACTGATATACAGGAATGCATTTGATTTATGCATGTTGATTTTATATCCTGCCACTTTGCTGAATTCATTTATTAGCTCCAGTAGTTTCTTTGTAGACCCTAATGGGTCTTCTAGGTATAGAATCATGTCCTTTGCAAATAGTAATACTTTAAGTTCTTCCTTTCCTATTTTTATGCCTTTAATTTCTTTCATCTGTCTAATTGCTCTGGCCAGTGTTTCGAGAACTATATTGAATAGAAGTGGTGATAGAGGGCATCCCTGTCTTGTTCCAGATTTTAGAGGGAATGCCTTCAATTTTTCTCCGTTCAGAATGATGCTAGCCTGAGGCTTAGCATAGATAACTTTTACAATGTTGAGGTAAGTTCCTGTTATCCCTAGTTTTTCTAATGTTTTGAATATAAAGGGATGCTGTACTTTGTCAAATGCTTTTTCTGCATCTATCGAGATGATCATATGGTTCTTATCTTTAAGTCTACTGATGTGGTGAATAACATTTATTGATTTCCGTATATTGAACCATCCTTGCATCCCCGGGATGAATCCTACTTGATCATGGTGCACAATTTTTTTGATGTGTTTTTGTATCTGACTCGCCAGAATTTTATTGAGGATTTTTGCATCTAGGTTCATCAGAGATATTGGTCTATAGTTTTCTTTCTTTGAGGTGTCTTTGGTTTCGGAATCAGGGTGATGTTGGCCTCATAGAATGAATTTGGAAGAGCTCCCTCTTTTTCTATTTCCTGAAATAACTTGAAAAGTATTGGTATTAATTCTTCTTTAAAGGTTTTGTAAAACTCCGCTGTATACCCATCTGGTCCTGGGCTTTTCTTGGTTAGTAGTCTTTTGATTGCTTCTTCTATTTCATCCATTGATATTGGTCTGTTCCAATTGTGTGTATTCTCCTGACTCTGTCTGGGCAAATCATATGACTTAAGAAATTTATCGATGTCTTCACTATCTTCTATTTTATTGGAATATAGGTTTTCAAAATAATTTCTAATTGTCTTCTGTATTTCTGTAGCATCTGTTGTGATATTGCCTTTTTCATCCCGTATGTTAGTAATTTGAGTTCTCTCTCCTCTTCGTTAGCATGGCTAAGGGTCTGTCGATCTTATTTATTTTTTCGAAGAACCAACTTTTAGTTTTGTTAATTTTTTCAATAGTTTCTTTTGTTTCAATTTCATTGATTTCTGCTCTGATTTTAATTATTTCTTGCCTTCTACTTCTTTTGTTGTTGTTTTGCTCTTCCTTTTCTAGGGCTTTAAGATGAAGTGTGATCTCATTTATTTGTTGGTTTTTTCTTTTTTTGAGGAATGACCTCCAGGCGATGAATTTCCCTCTTAAAACTGCTTTCATTGTGTCCCACAGATTCCGATATGTTGTGTCTGTATTTTCATTTATCTCTAAGAATTTTTTTATTTCCTCCTTTATGTCTTCTATAACCCATTGATCATTCAGTAACATATTGTTCATTTTCCATGTGATGGAGGATTTTTCCTTCCTTCTTTTATCATTGATTTCCAGTTTCATTCCATTATGATCAGATAAAATGCATGGTATTATCTCCACCCCTTTATATTTACTGAGGGTTGCCCTATGGCATAATATATGGTATATTTTTGAGAAGGATCCATGTGCTGCTGAGAAAAAAGTATATCCACTTGATGATGGTTGATATATTCTATATATGTCAGTTAAGTCTAGGTTATTGATTGTGATATTGAGTTCTATAATTTCTTTATTCAACTTTTGTTTGGAGGATCTGTCCAATGGTGAGAGAGGTGTGTTGAAGTCACCCATAATTATTGTGTTGTGGTCTATTTGATTCTTGTACTTGAGGAGAATTTGTTTTATGAACATCGCAGCACCATTATTTGGTGCATAAATATTGATAATTGTTATGTCTTGTTGGTGAATGGTTCCCTTTAACAGTATATAATGTCCTTCCTTATCCCTTTTGATTAACTTAGTCTTGAAGTTGATTTTATTTAATATGAGGATGGCCACCCCTGCTTGCTTACGAGGACCGTGTGCGTGGTATATTTTTTCCCAACCTTTCACCTTCAGCCTGTGTATGTCTTTTCCAATCAGATGTGTCTCCTGGAGGCAGCATATTGTTGGATTTGTTTTTTTAATCCATGTTACCAGCCTATGTCGCTTTATTGGAGAGTTTAAGCCATTAACGTTTAGAGTTACTATTGATATATGGTTTTTACTTTCAGCCATGTTTGATTATTTATCTTTTTTTTTTAATTTAGTTTGTTTCTCCATGATTAGCTTTCCCCCTGCCCTCTGTCTTTACTGAGGCACTTCCCACTGATGGTTTTGGTTATTGTTTTTCATTTCTTCCTCATGTAGTGTTTTGCTCAAGATGCTTTGCAATGCTGGTTTTCTGGCTGCAAATTCTTTTAACTTTTGTTTATCATGAAATATTTTTATTTTGTTGTCGTACCTGAAGCTTAATTTTGCTGGATACACAATTCTTGGTTGGCATTCATTGTCTTTCAGTGTTTGAAATATGTTGTTCCAGGATCTTCTCGTTTTCAGTGTCTGTGATGAAAAATCCATTGTTAACCTTATTGGTTTACCCCTGAATGTAATCTGCCTCCTTTCTCTTGTAGCTTTTAATATTTTCTCTTTGTTCTGTATATTGGATATCTTCATAACAATGTGTCTTGGCGTTGGTCTACTGTGATTTTGTATGCTCGGTGTCCTGTATGCTTCTACAATTTGTATATCCGTTTCCTTTTTTATTTCTGGAAAGTTTTCTGTAATTATTTCATTCAGCAGGTTACTCATTCCCTTGGTTTGAATCTCTATACCTTCCACAATCCCGATGACTCTTAAGTTTGGTTTTTTTATGTTATCCCATATCTCTTGGATGTTTTTCTCATGATTTTTTACCAGCCTTTCTGAGTTGGCTAGACTCTTTTCAAGATGATATATTTTGTCTTCATTATCTGACGTTCTGGCTTCTACTTGCTCCACTCTGTTAGTGATACTCTCAATTGAGTTTTTAATTTGGTTTATGGTTTCCTTCATTTCTAGAAATATTGTTTGATTTTTTTTTATAATCTCTATCTCCTGATTAAGATGCTTAACTTCTTCTTTTATCTGTTTATGTAATTCAATTTCAATGTGTTCTTTCACTGTTTGAATTCGCTGTCTCATATCCTCTTTAAGGTTCCATTCCATCTGTCTAAGGTATTCCTTGAGTTCTTTATATGACCATTTTTTTCTGATGACTCTAGGTCCTCCTGAATATGTAGGCTGTCCTGCATTGTTTGTACTCCTTGTCTGCCTTGCTTTTTCATGCTGCTCATGTTACTTCTGTTCTGTTTGACTGCTGAGTTACTGTTTACTCCTATAAATTTATTTGATGCTTGGGAGGAAAAGTATTAGAAGGGAAGGGAAGAAGTCACTGTCGCCGATGGTTTAAAGGAAGTTATCCCCTCCGCCACATTCTGGTGAAGTCAGTTCTCTGCCATGGTGGTATCCCATGCAAATCGACAGTTCGTTTCCCTTTGCCGGGTGACCAATGCAACGGGTGGGTCCTGACTGGCTCTCCCATACTCATGGAGTATGCAGGTCTTACTCTTCATGATATTTTTGTTGCTTTACGTGATCATTGTATCTGGAAATATTGTCATTGTGACCTTAATCATCACTGACCCTCATCTCCATTCCCCCATGTATTTCTTTTGGGGCAATCTGTCTTTTGTGATATGTGGCTTTTCTCAGTCACCACTCCTAAGATGATCAAAGACTTTCTCAGGGAGAGCAAAACCATTTCCTTTGCAGATTGCATGTGCCAAATCTTATTTGCCCATTTCATTGCAGCAAGTGAGATGGTGCTTCTAATGTCCATGGCCTATGACCGCTATGTGGCCATCTGCAAACCACTTCATTACTCCACCATTATGAGCCTGCAAAGGTGCACTGGGCTGGTGGTTTCTTCCTGGACTACTGGCTTTGTGCATGCCATGAGTCACCTGGCTGTGATAGTGCAGTTGCCTTTCTGTGGCCCCAGGGAAATAGACAGCTTCTTCTGTGATATGCCTCTGGTGATCAAGTTGGCCTGCATGGATTCTTATAATTTAGACATTTTAATGAATGTTGACTGTGGGTTTGTGGCTGTAACCTGCTTTATCCTCTTGCTGATATCCTACACATATATTATTCTCAGTGTTTGCCAGAGATCTAAAACTGGTGCATCTAAAGCCCTGTCCACCTGCAGTGCCCACATCACAGTTGTGGTGATCTTTTTTGTGCCCTGTATCTTCATTTATGTGTGGCCACTCAATATCACCTGGTTGGACAAATTTCTTGCTGTGTTTTATTCTGTTTTTACACCACTCCTCAATCCAGCCATTTATACATTAAGAAATAAAGAGATAAAAAAGGCTTTGAAAAGACTCAGGAGTTATTATGTAGGTTCCCAGGAACAGGCTTAATGCCCAGAAATTCACTGCATGTACTTTAAACTGACAATACACTGACCTTATAATATAGTTTAAACTTTAACAGATATAGTTTATAGCTATAAATAGTTCCAGTTTCCAGATACATCTGTAGATTTGAGGCAATGCAGAGATTTTATATTTTACTAATCAGCCAATATTGTGAATTATTTCCCTAAAATCCATACAAGAACAGTCCTTCATTATGAAAAAAATTATCTTTTCAGTCTTTCTACACTATGAATAATATGAAAAAGAACCTGCAAGCAAGCATAGTGACTTTAGTGTTCATCCGCATGGCAGCATGCTTCAGTACAGGACACCAAATAAAACCTCATTGTGTGTGAACCACATTAGGCATATCTGCTAAAATGGTGTGGATTTTTTTTGGTGGGAAATGAAAGCATTCTAAAATAAGATTCTCATGTTTTTTTCATAGCTGTGTGAATATACCACTTTCAACTTATACACACACACACACACACACACATATATATATATATATATAAATGAGTTTTATGGTATGGTAATCCTATCTGAACAACACTGCTCTTAAAAAATCCAATTCCAGGGGTACACCCATGGAACTTATCAAAACATGAAAGCTATTTCTTTCAATTTATTCAGTGTGTAGGCTTTTTCTTCGTTTATCAGGCCTAGCATGGCCCAGGGGTGTCACTGGGACTTTAGTTATCCTCTTGGAGAGGAAGTCAGGTGCAAACAAAAGGGTCTTCTGTTGGCTGAAGCTTCTTTGAGCAGGGTGAGGTTCTGGCTCTTCTAAGGTAGGGAGACTGCTGGGGTAAATCTTTCATGAGCAACATCCAGTTGTTCCCACACTTTGGACTCTTAGGTTTTCTCTGCCAGTGCCCTGATCTGAGCATAACACCCATATCTGGACTAATTGCTTATATATTTCTGGAGCTGTGTTATTGCATTAGATGTTAAATGTAGGTCAGTACTATCCCTTCACCACAGGAAATAAGCTTCTGTTTTTTCCTACCAAATATTTTTTCAGGCCCTTACACTGGACCTTTAAGTACTTGTTTGTAGCCTTCTGTTCACTATCCCTCTGAAGGGAGTCCTACAGTTTAGCAATGAGTAAACAACTCCCCAATAAGAATGGAATAGCTATTCCCAATCTTTGAACACCTGAATCACTTCCCTGCAGGGGTGTTCATTTCCAAATGAATATTTTTTCCAGTGAGGCCTGGTAGGAGTCTAAGGTTGGAGTATTGTGATTTCAAGCCCAGACTGGGAAACTGGAAAGAAAATAAATTTAAAAACAAGATTAAATACAAAGTCAGAAAGATTTTCTCAGATCCATCAGTGAAATATTTTAACAATCAGGAATCTTCTTCCAGGACTGGGGTTCTATATAGTTCCTGGAACTGAATCTTACTTGTCCATCAAGTTGCTCAGTGACTCAGCCACAAATCCACATTTACCACCTACTTTCCCAAGCTATTCTCATTCCTAGTTGTGTAAACTTGGCTAATCTGAGAGGCAGACATAAAGATGGATTACAGTATACTCACACAGGGAAAACAGCAAGAAAAACAGAATTGATTTAAGAACAGCATAGAGATATGTCTAAAACATTATTTATGTAGATACAGAGACATTTAAAACAAAGAGTAAATCCTGTCAAAGTTTTAATTAATAGGAATTCAAAAATAGAGAAACAAATATTTAATGATAGAAATAAGAATAGTCATTCTTTCTAGTTATACTAACTGCAAAGTGGATTAAGGAAACTTTTAACTTTGAGAAAAAATATTTGGTAGTTGATAAATGTGATAATTTCATGTACATTTATGAGGGAAAAATTTTAATCTTTTCATTTAAGAGTTTGCACCTTAATATCTGCAAATTAATTCTCATATAATAACAGGAAATAAGAGTGGCAAAACAAAAAAAAAGTACTAGTTTAAAATGTTCAGGGTAGATCTTTTCAATATACAGGCCCCCCAAAAAATTTAGGCACATGGTAGATATAGTATTAATTATTAAAAAGCAGTGTCTTTATTTCATTATCATAACCTCTTTTTAAAAATCTCCCCTGAGGTACTTTTTAGCCAACTCTGTATTATGATAGCCAGTGACTCATTATATTCTCCAAGGTCAAAGCAGGCAAAGGGGAATGGAATTCTTGTTTTCTGGGCTTAGGGAACATCTTGTTATTTATTTGTAGTTTTTCATTTTCGTCCTTTATCTTAACTTGTAATTTGTATGTAATTGTGTCTTATGTGTTAAATTCAATCCACCAATGTATTTTAATTGATAGTGTTTTCTAATTTACTATTTCTTAAAATTTTCTCCATATTATTTTTAATGGTTGAGAATAATTCATTGTAGGTATGTTTCCTAATCTAGTTAACTAATAAACAATGGAGTAAAGCACACTCTTGCAATCAAATTATTACACACATCCTTATTTCCCTCATTGGCACCTCCTCTCCCCCCCCCCCCCCCCACCCCCGCTGCTGGGCATTAAACCTAGGGCTTCACACTTGCCAGGTAAACACTTTACACCAAGTCACATCCCCAGCCTTGTCCTTAATTTTTTTTATTTAATTGATTTTAGTTTTTTAAATACATGACAGCAGGATGCATTACAATTCTTATTACATATATAGAGCACACTTTTTCATATCTTTTTATATAAAGTGTGTTCACACCAATTCATGTCTTTTTACATATACTTTGTTTTGTTTTGGTTTTGCATTACAATTCTTATTACACATATATACCACAATTTTTCATATCTCTGTTTGTATATAAAGTAGGTTGACAGCCAATTCATGTCTTCATACATGTACTTTGGATAATGGTGTCCATCACATGCAATCATCCTTGCTAATTCCCTGCCTCCACCCTTTCCCTCCCACCCCTCTTCCCTACCTAGAATTCATCTATTCCTCCAATGCTCTCCCACCTTATCTCATTCTGAGTCAGCCTCCTTATTTCAGAGAAAATATTTGGCATTTGTTTTTTGGGGGGATTGCCTAACTTCACTTAATAATTTGTTATTTTTTTGCAATGAACTTACTTTCATTGCACCAATAAATTAATTTTTTATGTAATCTTTGTCTTTACTGGCACAAAGGCTTGAATCAATTACCATTCATTTTGATTTAGACCAAATTCATTATAGTTTAAAACACATAACTTTTCATCTATGTCTGTGTATGTATATCAAATTTCTTCCCAATCTAAGACACAGAGTCATCAAAGAGAGAAGTCCTTTCCTATAACTAGATAAAGCCACAGTCTTCTTATTTGACTAGTTGATGTGTTCAGCAGCTCAAGGATTTGGGTTACAACAATTTCATTGTGAATGAACAAAGATGAATGGGTAACAGAAGCAAGACCAGAGGTTCAATTTATCTAAAGATGTACTGATGTTCCATTAAAAATAGAGGTTGCACCTCATGATCCAATGTGGAAAGGCGGTAGACATGGCTGCTTCTTTTAGATTCAAATGTCTCCTACAATCATCTATCTGGTTCCTTCTTCACTACTAAGGTGACTTTTAATTTCAGAACTTAAAAACTGGTTTTGAGTTATAATTCTTAGGTCTGGAATAGAGTTTTCTTTAAAAAGAAATGATAAAACAATACACTTTTTCATAGGATCAAACATCCACCTAAAAGAAATAAAAGCAGAAAAAAATGAAGGGAGTATAGGTAATACATATCTAAATAATGTTATGGATCCTAAAACAAACAAACGATCATTGTAAAACAATGAAGTATGGCTAACTTCAAAGTCACATGAGAATTTAAGAACTAAAGTAGAAAGAAAGTTTCAGAAAGCATAGAGCTAACTTGAACTGTGGAGGACATGCTATAGTGGGGCTCAGAGAAGGCAGGTGCATGGGAGAGACAGGAAGAACAGAACCTCCTAGCTAAGCCTTTGATGTTCATTGCTGCCTCAGCTTCAGCCAGCCAACACCAAATTCACAGCTGAACCTACAGCATCTGCTCAGCTTTACCAATGTGAATTTAGACTTTCTAAGTTTCTTTCCTATTTATATCTCGCCCTCTTCCAGCTCAGGTGGTGGAAAAGGGGTTCCCCTTGGTGGAATGAGCTGTGTGAGAAATAAAAGCTAAGAGAAATAAAACAGCAAAAAATCACATAACACAGAAAGTAATTTCAAGAGTGGGGTCAGGATGGGCAATTCAATCATACAGATGGAGCTTCTATACTATGAGAAATGTAGCCGGGGCCTGCTTTATTTATATTAGGAAATAGCAAAGGCCTTCCATAGAATGTTCTTCATCAAAAAAGGTTAAAGGTAGGCTGTCCAGTTCCCAACGGGTTACACCCATCTCCTGAGCTACTGTGGGGGAACTTCCTAGCAGAGCAGAGATAGAAATCACATGCATTGGGCAATCTATTGGGAGGGCCACGGGTAATTGGATAGTTCACCATACCAAACCCAAATCTCCCTGGCCACCATTCCTGGAGAACACCCTCATGTAAATCACAGATGGCTTCCCACACTTATATCCCCTTCAGACTCCTGGGTATCAACTCCTTTCAACATTAGTAATTTATTATTACATAAAACAAGATTTTGAGTCACACATTCTGTTATACTATCAAAAACTCTCTTGACTTTTCAAAAATATTCTATTCAACTTGTCCCATTTATGCCTCATTTTCTCTCCTGAGTAAAAGAGTCTGTTTGCTATATATCTGGAAAAGATGGAAATGATTTATTTATTAAAATTAACTGCAGCTACTGCTTCTTAAATTACAAACTGAAATAACTCATTTTACTAAAATTAAAAATGTGAAATATATAAATTACAAAATAATCACCACTAATAAAGAAGTTCTTCATTAGACTTGTAAGCTCTACTGTTCTAATTGGGTAGGAATATAGTTGGTCAGCCATGTATTGCTCCAGAAGATGATATTTTATCATTAAGAAAATGGAAGTGGCACTGAAGCAAAACTTTGACAAATTTTAGAGGATAACACCAGAC